GCGGGGACGCCTGGGGCAGAGCCGGACTATCGGAAGGGGGGCCTATGAGAGGTCTGGGGTGGCATCCCCCCCATCCCAGACCCCTCATAGCCCCCCTTTCCGATAGTCCGGCATATCTGATAATCCAGCACCCCCTGGGTCCTAAAGGTGCCGGATTATCAGAAGTTTACTGTGCCTGTAGGCTCTACTGGAAATACTTGACTTACAAAGCGATCATTGCTTTTTCAGGCCTATGTTACAAAGGTTCGAATCTTGATGCCATCTGGGCAAGCCATTGATTTCAGTTTTTCATTCTTTATATTGGTGAACCCTTTATCATGGGTTCCCTGCAGAATGTGGGTTGTGAACAAGACTGTACAAACATTTGGATCTACATTCAGTTCTTAACATTGCAACTTAGGCCCATGAGTTGTTCCTGATTAGAAAAACATCTTATTTGAGTTTAATTCTCTGCTCACTTCCAGTAAATTTACCATCCCCTCAAACAAAGCTACTACTTCACACCAGGAAAATTAAGACAGCAGTCAGTACTAGTAAGTTTCATTGTTGCTTTTAGTTAGATGATATGTATGTAAGTATATTTTTTCTCTCTCAGTACCACCTTTTGCCAGGAAAAGCAGAATTGTAGTGTCTCTTTCAGTCTTTGCTTTAATACAAAACGTTATTCCACGGAAAGCCAGAGAAGTGCCCAACTCTCACGTGAGATGTCTAAAATATAGAAAAAGCGCTCTGGAAATACAGTGCAGGGAAGGATCCTGCTTTGGCTGTGAGGCTGTCCCTTTTCATCGCCCAAACATGTCTGATTCACTTTGCATCTTGCCTAGGTCATTTTTGAGGCTGTTCGAGGATTGACAGAATACGGGGACACAGCAGTGGACAACGTGGGTGTCAGGAATGGACCTTGTGGTAAGTCTGTCCCTATGCCCCAGTGATCTCCATCCCCCTTTTCCACTTGTTTGCCGTACCCCAGTCCAACAGAGACTAAGGGACCCCAAAAGGGTCAAACCTTATTTAAAAAGCTCAAAACATTCACAGTGAAACTTGTCTAAATTTACTGGGGGTTCTCCCTCATGTACACCCAACTCCTTTCTCAAGCATTGCCATTTGCTTCCACACAAGCTGCAAGGTGGTCTGAAAATCAGTCCATTTTCCTGAAATTCAGCAAATGTAGGTTTTTAATCAACCCCCAAAGCAGCTGAATGTCACCCGCCCCGTGGTTTCACTGGGCTCCTCAATTCAGCTTGTAACTGTAAAGCAAGAAAGAGCCAGAAATCTTTGCATAGGAGCTCTGCAAAGCATACTGCTCTGTGACATTGCACAGAGAAATGCCAGTGAGTGGGAGTGAAGCACAGCCCAAACTCTCAGACCATAATAGCACGGGCTTTGGAGAAGTCTGATTCTCAGATAGATTTTGAGGCTGGTCGATATCTTTATATTTACCAAAACAAAATCCCAGCTCCGAACACATCTAAAAACATCTACACTATGGAACTGTCCTGTCCTCCAAAGGGCTTGCAAGCCTTCCCATGCACATTTTATGAGCATACTCTATACTCCATTAGCCAAGTTACGAATGAAAACATGGACTAGTAGTGCAGCTACGACTGACCCCTGCAGGGCTGCTCTTGATATACCCACCGGCTGTGTCTACATTGGCACCCTTTTCCGGAAAAGGGATGCTAATGAGACACTTCGGAATTGCAAATGCTGTGGGTGATTTAAATATCCCCCACGGCATTTGCATGAACATGGCTGCCGCTTTTTTCCGGCTCGGAGCTTTGCCGGAGAAAAGTGCCAGTCTAGACGGGATCTTTTGGAAAATAAAGCCTTTTCCGGAAGATCCCTTATTCCTGAATTTAAATCTTATTCCAGGTATCTAAAAGGGTGTCATAAGGAGGATGGAGAAAACTTGTTCATCTTGGACTCTGGGGACAGAACAAGAAGCAATGAGCTTAAACTGCAGCAAGGGAGGTTTAGGTTGGACATTAGGAAAAAGTTCCTAACTGTAGGGGTGGTCAAACACTGGAATAAATTGCCCAGGGAGGTTGTGGAATCCCCATCTCTGGAGATATTGAAGAGTAGGTTAGATAAATGTCTATCAGGGATGGTCTAGACAGTACTGGGTCCTGCCATGGGGGCAGGGGACTGGACTCGATGACCACTCAAGGTCCCTTCCAGTCCTAGTATTCTATGATTCTAGGATTTTCTGGAACAAGAATATACAGTAAATTCCATGGCATTCTCTCATTACAGGAGATGGACCTACAACAACAGCGAGCCCTGGATCAGTCACCACTTCCTCTTCTTCCACGTCACTTCCTCCACCGAGTTCAGGTGAATTTCTCTGACATGACTGTCTCCTTAAACGTCTGTACTGAATTGGCACGTCATCGCAAGTGTCAGATTTCGCATGGTTCCTCTTCTCTTTGTATGAACGCGAGGGCAGAATATGTCCCAAATGCTTAGAAATTCTCTAAGGGTGTGTGTATCTGTACAGGCAGTCCCCGACTTACGCGGATCCGACTTTCTGCACATACGAACTGGGCTTTTCTCGCCCCGGAGCTCACGGGCGGCGGGTCTGCCACCTGTGTCCTCCGGGGCGAGAAAAACTGCTCCGCTCTCCCTGGTCTGCTGGGGGGGTCCAGCAGCTTTGCTGAAACCCCCAGCAGACCAGGGAGACAGGAGCAAAGCCACCCAGGCGGGGGACCCCCCCCCCAACCTGGGCTGCTTTGCTCCTGTTTCCCTGGTAAG